CACCCAAGCCGACGATATTCCATTGGTGAGGATCCTTCTGTATTTGTGTAGTCTGGGAAGCTAACACCCTGTTGCTCTAGATTTGTGAACTATAGATAACGTTGTTTTGGAGAAGCATAATTGAAGGACTTCAGGAGCTAAGTTATCTGATGAAGAAGATCGACAGCTTGGGTGTTTTCCCAAGTCCATCCAATCATGTTCTAGTGAATGAGGTACTGTAGCCTTACAGTCAGTTTTAGCTGCTTGTCAATAAATATATGTTATCAGTATCTCCCCGGACAAGGAATCATGCCACACACCGATGGTCCGGCTTTCTTTCGGCTCGTCTCGAATGTGACTATGGGTTCGCACACGCTTCTCGATTTATATCGGCCAGTGAATCAAGAGGTAAGTATACGTTTTGGAAGAAGAGTTTCTGGCTCATCCACTGGCTCAAAGCTTACTTGAACTCCAAACTTAATTGCCTAAAACAAAATAGCCGTCGGAAGAATTGGATCGGAAAACAAAAGTCGGAAATCGGAAAAGGGTCGCCTGTTAGAGTTGCTAGGTCTTTTCTGAAGATACCCTACACTTTTCTATCCATTTATGGTGGGGTAGGATAGGCCGGGTAGGAAGTAAGTATTCTTTCAGGCACAGTTGGAGTTGGAGGGGTCATTTTGCACCTTCGCTACTTCTCATTGACGTGTCGAGCCACCAAGTGGAGAGCTGTGGTGCCTGAAGCCAAGAAGTGATACAGCCAAAGTTTGAGGAGACCACTTGTGAACTCTTGTAGAGCGATGAAGACATCGATGGGAAGTAGCGAAAGTGCAAAGTGCCCTCCCCAAGCCGACGCCCAAAAGCTTTCAAGGTTTTCAACAAGAGCCGAATGCATAGCACATCTCGAAATTGCTGAGAGCTGATCACTTCATAGATGTTTATTCACCCTGAACAAAATCATAGGCTCTACTGTGTTTTCATTGATTGAATCAGTTATTCCACATATTTTTCATTGAATAGTGGCGCCTCAGTGGGGATGGCAACACTGACTGGGGTGAAATTGGTGTATAGGTTCAGCTCGTCGACTGAAGGCTTGAGTTGACTGACTGAAAGAACCGTGATAGGTGGTTTTTCTTCCTTATGCTTCCTGGCGGGAATCAAGGACGCAAAGAATGATGATATGGAGTTGTAGATCCTGCAAAATGGTTTTAGAATGTTCTATATGAAGCTGTTTTGTACTAAAGGCACGATCTGCGATAAAAAGCCCAGGTGATTTTGCAGAAATGTGGAAGAAAATTTGCCAAGTGAACCATCTATGAAGAGAAAATGCCAAAGGGAACGTTGGAAACGCATTCGTCAGGCCTCCTCTAGCCTCAAACAACTGTAGAGGTAAAAGACCGAAAAGACCG